GAGGAAGAAGAAAGAGAAAAAAAAAAGAGAAAGAATGTGCAAAAGGAAGAAGAAAGAGGAAGAGAAGAAAAAAAGAAGGTAGAAAGATGAGGAGATGGTGAAGAAAGAGATGTACCAGAATGGGTGAAGGGAGCAGCATGTGGGCAGCTGAGGCCACAGTGCATGGGCAGTGATGGTGAAGAGGAATCACATGACTCCATGAGCCCTAGCACAGTGCAACTCCTCATGAGTAGTACGTTCTTAAAAGAAAAAAAATTAAGTGAAGCATACCAGACTGCCCAATTTCAAGTGGTTCATGCCTCAGTCACTGTTTAGACAGGTAATACTCACTGAACCATACCAAACCAGTGGAAATTAAAAACCTTGCATTAAAGTAGATAAGCTGATTTTCAAATAAGAAAAAAAATCACACTTGGAAAAAATTCATCCATAATGGCATTACCAAATCCATTGTGCCTAAATTACAACAAACCATGTACTTGAAAATACTTTCATACCAAACTAGTAAAAAAATGACTTCCATGTAGAGTTCAAACCTTCTTGTGATCATACTCCAATGGAGCACATATGGCAATAAGCATCAACCTATTTGTAATTCCAGGATGATCAAAGGAAAGGCTTTTACAATGTCCAAATGTATAGCACTTAGCTTGTGTAAAATTATGTGAAAGAGGCAAAGACTGAAACTAAAGAAAAATTAAGATAGTGGATACGATAATCTGAAAGATGGTGGTCATCCTTTAAGACTTTCCCCCTAAAGATTAGCCGTTGCAGCTCCACAGGAACACCTGTTGCACTTGCTACTTTTGCCTTCAGTGAAGGAACTGGTGTCTAAAAGGATAGCAGAAATAACGTCAAGACAGCTATACCAACATAAGAAAACATGTTCCCTCAAGAAAGTAACTAGACACTCCATGTACATGTCAATATAAAAAAAAAAAAAACAAGAACTTGCAATAAGCATAAAAATGTTTGATACAGAAACTAACCCCTTAAATATAAAATATTCATTTGATACTAATTAATATCTTACATTAAACTAAGACAAATATGTCCTCAAGTGAATAAAACAAATAACAACTAGCTCTTTCCTAGTCCTTAATAAACTCAGCTTAGTTTCATAAGAATTTCAAGAAGTATTGAACACACATGGGCACAAGATTCAAAATCAACTTGCATTCGTAGATGCAGCAACCATCAAGTTGACAAAAGGTAATACAGATACTTTAAAGATTATGATTTATTGTTTGCGACACTTATCTTTCATTGCTTAAGAATGCAAAAAGAAATATCAAGTTGAATCTTTAAGAAGCCTCACAACCTAAAAGAAAACAAGGCGGCTTCCCCCACATACTTGTGTTCAATGTAAGCAATAAGAAAATTTGATAACTATCAGATTTTACAACATTGAGTATGCCAACACAAAACACAAGGGTGGATGTGTGAAAGTAATTTGCACTGGCACTTGTGAGCATGTATGAAATGTGTCACAAAGAAGGAAAAGAGATCATATGACCTTCATTTACACTATTTAACTCATAGAATATGCAAAGATAACTAACAAATAACCATAAACAGGAAACATTCAACTACATCATATGCATTACAAACTAGACTGTCGTTCCTAATCTTAAACCTAAACATAAAGAAGATTCAACCACATTCAACCAAATGACTTGATCCAGCACATGTAGAATTAAGCATGTTTGAGGTGATGAAAGGCCAAAAAAACTTAGCGGAAACAAAACCATCAAGTGATAGAAGATTATTTTATTACGCATAAATTAAATCATTATCACAACAAAAAAATAACATAACAAGATTTTCAGAGCATGCACTGCCATCATCTTCGATACAAAACCAGTTTAACAACAGGTACCAGTTTCACAGATATATTATGTTTGGAGTTATTCAGCACAGAAGTTTCAACCTCAAGAGGAACTACTTGAGACACCTACAATAGCCTTACATCTTTGTTTACACGAAACGTGTAGACCCGTGAATCTAGCATCTTGACATTAAGTTCTATAGTTGAATCCGAACTTTCACCAATTCCTTGGACTGAACAGTTGCCCTGGTCACCAGCCATCCTGTTCAGAGTGAAAGGGGGGAAAAAAACATGTTTAAAAAATCTCACAACTAGAAGAACAGACAATTGTGCAAAAATAAATCATATCATACAATGCGCATAAACAAATGTCACATAATCCGTTACGCATGACAAATATGATGCATATCTTATTTTGTGCATTTCGCATTCCAATCAAGTAAATTATGGTCCCGAAGTTCAAGGATGATATTCCGGACGAGGGCATATGTTTACAGATGGAGATACATAAAATAAAAAAATAAAACAAAAACATCTTCTACAGCTGCAAAAATATATGCACTGCCACAAACTTTGGAGCCAACTAAATAAGAAATTGAGTTTATATCTAAAGGCAATAACATGTCACAATTAGCAAGCTAAGACAGAAAATGGAAATAAGTGTATGAATATTTATGACTAACCTTTTTTCTTTACAAGTGTCAAGATTTCTAGACTCCAGTAGATGGACATCCGTAAACTCCAAGAGATGACAATACTTATATTGTCTTTCAAAACACTTTTAACATATTGGGGCCCCAAAATTATCACTATATGAATTCTAAAATCCAAATATCCCAATTCAAGATGCTATTTTCTAGAGTGGAACAATACATGACATCACATTTTTTATAAAAACTTCAAGAAATAATAAGCACATATTTTAAATTAGGTAACCAAGACAAGAAAAAGAGCTCCTCGTGGGAAAATAATAAGAAGAAAAAAAACTTGTGGTTCAGGTGCAGTGGGAGAAACTGAAAATGGAGAACCATGTTCCATTCATACCATGCCCTACAGCTTTGCATATGTAACCCAAAGAAAGTGTTCCGAGACCAAACATTTTTTTATGTTCTGCAAATTAAACCTCTCAAATAAACACAACTCGAAACCATCCAACCCTTTGCTCAACAACCCTACCTAAACGTCCTTTGCGAAAAAACATTACCATCACCGAAAAAACTCGAGAAAGATTTCCAGCTAAGCGTTCTTGCATGGTGGGATAACCCGCAAACGTAGCTCCATAATCTTCTACCCTCCCGCTTCGCATATTTATCCAGCCTTTGAAGACCCAGCCTTTTTGTTATGTCGTGCAGAACAAACATCTCCATAACCGTGAAACACGATTCAAGAACATGCAACCCTTTTCTTTAACAAACCCACCCAAAAGATTCTTCGATACACCAAAACGCGCCGTCATCCCGATTCCTTCCCAAGAAAACGCGACCAACACGCTGTACGTTCGATCGCATTTGGATCGAACGACGAAAGATACTCATTCTAAGATGTCGAATAAAACACGCAGGGAGGAACATGCTCCACGTTCTTGGAATAGTTGGTCTTTTCATACGAGGATAAACAATAAGAACCAAGAAAATCGTATCGGTATCTACCAAAGAAAAAGGGGTAGACCGGATCGAAAATGAGAAGCGGATCGAACCCTGTTTCGCAGTTGCAGACGGACTGAGAACCTCCTTCCCCGCTTCGTTCTTGCTTGGATCGCCGCAGAGCAATATGGATCGGCTCCTCCTTCCGCCTCTCTTCTTGATGCCTTGCTTCGCCCGCCTCTCACCGCCACCGGTGTCTCTGGAAGGGTCTAAAAGGCGTTTCCGCTCGTACGATACGCACTCTGCGGGCCTCTCACCCCACACCATTATCACCGCATACTTATATCATACGGGAAATGCGGAGCATCTCAAGCATGTGTCCTGGACCGGGTCGGATCGTGGGTCCAGTAAAGCGGATCGTATCCGCTCCGATACATATTGGATCCGCCAATCGCAATTGTGTATAAATATATCCCTTTATGGTTTGCTATGAAACTTTTATATATAATTATTATTTTAATGTCAGCCCAATGGGATTTTACATTCATATTCTTTCAAATATATTATATATAGGGTAATTATTATTTTTAATTTTTCTCAAGCTTATTATTCATATTTTTTTTATTATCCACAATCCTTTTCTTATTTATAATCCTTTTTAAAAAATAAAAATCTTAGTTTACTATTTATAATATCAATTTTTTTTTCTTTTCTATAACCTCTTATTAGTTATCGTTGAGGAGGAGAATAAGGTAATGATGATGAGGGGAGGCTGAAGAAAAAAATATTTATATATTAACAAATGAATAGTTTAGAGATCTTTAAAAAAAACTTTTTTAAAATATTTTTTTTTCAAATGGTATTATTTTAATTCAAAAATATTCAAATTGTTACTATTTCTAAGATTATTGAAATATGTCGAATCAAAAAATTTTTATAAACACATTGGTAACCGTAGTTAGTAAAGATTAACATAATAGCTGGACGAATATTATGGAGAGTGATATTTATGGAGAATTTTAATATTTAAAATTATAATTATATATTGATAACTTTTAAATATTTGAAGATATATATTACCATTTACAAACTTTAAAAATGTCGTTATAAGAGAATATAGTGGTCAATTTTTATAAATAAAAATAGAAAAAATATATTTTATTTCTATAAAGTTAAGAAAAAAAAAAGAGGAAATAGAATAGTAGCCCATGCATATGGTGGTAAAAAAGAGAAAGTCTTAATGATGTTAAAACACCCACTATGATTGACCAACTCTGCCAGTGGTGGACCAGCGTTGATAAAGGGTTGCGTTGCTCTCTTCTACCTTGACGCAAAATCCGTTACCTACAAAGTCACCGATGGACCCCGCATTTCCTCAACCATAAAAGGGGTTACATGTGGCGCGCCGAACTGCGTACGACTCTCTGCGCCGCACTGAAACCCGCGAATCGCACGCACCTTTGCACTGAAGAAGAAACCGTTGACCAGATATTTACTGTCCCTGCTGGCAAAGTCAAACCCCTCTAAATCTGGAGCCATTAAGCATTTAAACCTCTCTCTCCCTTCCTCTTCCTCGCTATCTCCTACAACTACAACAAAGAAGGGGAACGGAGAGGGAGAGATGAGCAGATAGCGAGCGGAGGAGGCGAAGCGATGATGCCGAAGAGGGAGTCGGACGCGACGAGCCTGACGTCGTGGTCGGCGACACAGTCGCCGCTGCATCGGCCCGTTTACTACGTGACGAGTCCCGTCCACTCCCACCACGACGCTATCCGTATCTCCTTCTCCCACTCGTCGCCCGGCGCCTCCCCGGTCCACCCCTACTACGACCCTTATCACCACCAGCGGTACAGCAGCTCCCCCATCCACCATTACCGCGAGTCCAACGCCCGCCTCTCCTCCTCCTGGCGTAAGCTCCCCACCCACCACCACGGCCCCTCCGAATCTGACGACGACAACGGTCGCGGCTCAATGGGCTGCTACGTGACTTGGTTCGTTCTGGCGTTCGTCCTGCTCTTCACCCTCTTCTCCCTCATCCTCTGGGGCGCGAGCTTGTCCTACAAGCCCCAAGTCATCGTCAAGGTCCCTGCCCGCCCGAGCCGATCCCGATTGGAACCGGAACTCGCTCCCCGTCACTAACAACGTCTTCCACACTGTTGATGTGCAGGACGTGGTGTTCCGGAACTACGATCTCCACGCGGGGACGGACATCACGGGCGTGCCCACCAATATGATCTCCATCAACTCGACGGTCCGGATCGCGTTTCGCAACCCGGCCACGTTCTTCGGCGTTCAAGCCTCGTCCACGCCTTTGGAGATACACTACTCCGAGTTCAAGGTCGCCTCCGGACACGTAAGCTTTCCTCCTCCTCTCGCGTACATTGTTTGAATCAAGGCCAAAGTTGCACCGAGCTCGAGGCGTTCTCCGATGCGCATGCAGATGGAGGAGTTCTATCTGTCACGGGAGAGCCGACGCGTGGTGGTGGTGGCAGTGGCCGGCGTGCATGTGCCACTCTACGGCGGCGGATCGAGCCTGAGAAGCCGTGCCGACGACGGCGGCGCCCCAGCGGTGGTGCCGCTGGAGCTGTCCTTCACGGTCCGGGCGCGGGCCCACGTCCTCGGTCACCTGGTCAAGGTCAAGTTCTACCACCGCGTCCGGTGCTCCGTAACCCTCCGCGAGGACCGGCTAGGCAAGCCCCTCACGCTCGCCAAGGCCTGCGAGTACCGTGACGGATGAGTTCCCAAGCTCGAACACTCTGGAGAGGGCGGGAACGAGAGATCCGAATCGAACGGGTGGCGTGGGACATGAGTTTCCTCGATCGAAGGTCGTCCGGCAATTGGCACGTCGGCCATTCCAAACCCGTGACGTTTCTCTTGTCGTCTTGTTCAGCGTCGCTTGTATGCTTCTTCAACCTCAACGCAGACACGCCTAATAAACTTTCACTATTACACATCATGGTATAATAGTAATCGAGATGAGATAAACAAAGAAAATTATCTTTTTTATTTATTTCTGGCGTTACTTTAGAATCCTATGAGGATCCCGTGCAACGATCACTTGCAAAATTAGCTCGAAGCATTCATCTTCGTCGTACACTTCAGCTGATGAAATTTATGTTTCCTCTCTTCGTAAACGTGGACTGATTCCATTGGCTTTAGTACTTAACGCTTGGTGGTCTTTCAAGACATGATCCGAATCGCACCGTCATCCGGCCCGACGCGAGGGCGGACCCGTTTTCTAGAGTATTCTATCTTTAAACGAACACCAAACACCATTTGGTACCACAAGTCTAACTAACACGTCCCCACGAGGAGTTGTTTTGCGCGGGCCCTCGATTCACGAGGCTCACGTTGCACCCTTTTGTTTTAGGTTTCCAGCACGTGAACCAACGGACCGTGCCGTCCGCGATCTTGATTTGTCGCCTCTTCTGGCGAATCTTGGATTGCTTTTGAGTCCGATGGCCGCCGTCGGCGTCTTCTCCTACGCCCGCGAGAAGCTCTCCGAGAACTGTTCTCTGCTCTGTCCTGGCCTCTTCGATCGCGGTACGACCTGCTTCTCCCAAAAAGACCCCATCTTTGTGGGTTTCTTTGTTGGTTTGGTTGGCAATGTTTTGGGGTATTTTGCAGCGAGTAGATCTTCCTGTGGATTGAAGGCGGTGATAGTGCTGCTACATATAACGTTCGTAGGCGTTATCTTCCTCTTCGATGCCAATTTGATACGCAAGTCAAGGGAGGAGCCCTGGTAGTCTATGAAATCCCGTTCCCTCTTTGTTGCTATCATCATTATTTCTTTTGCTGTTTAGATTGTCAGTTTAGGTGTAGCAAAGATGTAATTTTTGTGGATATTATGTGGAAGAGAAGAAGAAAGGTTTTGAGTTGGCGGACTTGTAGATTTCGTTTTGTGATAAATGAAGCTCAAATTTTAGGAGCTCGTTTGTCTTTGTCAACTATTGTCAGCTCGAAACCGTTTCTTCGCTTGTTTTGAGCTTTAGGTTGCACCGAAGATGGGTGTTGTCAAGACTTTCTGTGTTTTGACCATTCAACTGTTGTCAAGTAGTTTTGGGCTCTGTGAATGGTTATTTTGATTGACCTATTAGGCATTTTACTTGGGTAGCATGTATCAAGATGGTACATATAATGAATGCCAAATTGGTGTATCTCTGAATGTGATGTCCCATTGAGAATGTGAGGCATTTGAGTGGAGATTGTAGCATCACATTGTCTCACTTGGGAAAGTACAGAAAGAATAAGCTTATTTATAAATTGATTGACTAATAACAGCCACCGTATATGGCTAGGACCATTCTGTGGAAATTATTGGATTAGCAAGTCAATCAGGTGATGACAATTATAGTATCCTAGATATCTGAGTTTTATGGAAATCTTTTTTTTCTTTAGTTCTGCTCGTACTGCACCATATTCCCTGTCTTTTTGCATGCATCAATGATGTTAACTGGTGTTTTAAATGTTCCATGTGGACCATGATGAGTGACAGTAAATTTGTGAGCAAATATGGTATTCATATGATTGTTAATTTGTCATAATGGTCATTGAGAGGCACATACTGTAGGAGGCAACAATGACGGGGTTGTTAATATTTTCATATCATCTGGGGTTGGCAATGCTGTACCAGCTGGCCACCTCTGCGTTGATAACTGAAGAGAGTTGGCTCAAATATTATATTGTTCTTCAAGATTTAGGCTTTTCTTTCAAAATTTCCTAACAACCTATCTAGAGAACTCTTTCTTCTCCTGATAACTGAAGAGAGTTGGCTCAAATATTATATTGTTCTTCAAGATTTAGGCTTTTCTTTCAAAATTTCCTAACAACCTATCTAGAGAACTCTTTCTTCTCCTTTTAAAGCAATGTAATGAGAGCAAACTTTATAACAGGTCAAAACTCTATAATCAAGTCGAAAGCATAAGAATCCTACTGTAGTATAATTTTGATGAGTGAACATGCATTCATGATTCAACATCTAATAAAATTTAAAAAACATCCAATAAAGCCTCTCTCCTGCTTGCACTTGTAATATTCTGTTATGTAACACTTTATGGATGTCATGGTGGGCATTTTGATGTTATCTTCTCAGAAGGCTGTTAATATTTTCATTAAAAGCTGTTTTCTCTCTGAGATTGGAATTCTAATATTTTCCACTGAGAAATTAACTCGATTCTTTTCTGATGAATTAGAATTTTGATACTTGTTATCTGCCTTGTGCACTACACAAATACATTGATATTATCTATGTTCAACCATGGTCTTTTTCTATCCTGCTCCTTGTTAGGTCCTCGTCGCCACTTGTCTGTATGTGTTCTCTTTTCCTCGTTTTCAGCATGAGAATGTAGTGAATCTTTCCTGCTTGACAAATAATTGATTCTCCTATTATTTATTTGTGTGTCTCTCACTGATGACATTTCATCTGGAATGCAAATTGCAAGTTTACTGTGTTGAATCTCATGCATTTATCTTTGATTCCTTCCAACTATAATTTGTACATAAGTTTTGGTAGTGATTTTTATTTGATGCTATAAATAAGCTTGATGTGTTCTTACTAATTAGTTTATTTTATTTTGTTTGATGAAAATTTCTGCATTATTATCTGAACTTTGTCATTTTTGCTATTTCTTGTCTCTCAATCTTTAATGATGAGGCCATCTGCATTATTATCGTAATATTCTTTGGGTCAAAAATACTTATAGCTGTCACATTCTAGTTGTATTACCTTTTATTCTCTACACTTCTTGTTTGCTGCTTTAGTTAATTTATGTTACTTACCATTTTTTACCTTGAATGTGGTCCATTTGTAGGTATATCACAGTTTATCTGATGGTTTTTCTGGTTACTCTAGTTCAATATTTCTTTACATCTGGCTCATTCCCAGGGTAATGACATCTAAGATTATCATGATTGTCCTCTGAAAAATCACATACTGTTTTCCATCAGAGCAAAAGTGTCTTATGGGTGCCTCTTTTTTACATTCCTGCTTGTTAGATACATCATTGATGCAATGAGGGTGAAAAATGGCAGCAACACTACATTTATAAACTCACCAGCAATTGTAGAGTAAGATCATAGTCATTTCATGATTGTATTAATATGGACTTGAAGTTTTGTTGGCATCTTATTTTTCTATCTTTCTAATGTTCAAGCAAAGACAGTCTAATGCAAGAAATGGGAACTTAGTTTCTTCCACAAGGAATAATCAGTTAGAAAGGCAAAATTCCCGCTTGCCTTCATTATCATGGGAAAAGCTAGTTATGGAACTCTACCCTCCTGGATCAGCCATCAGGTATATTATTATTATTGCAATGAGAAGCATATAATGTTATAATAATAACTATTTCAAGCTCATCTTTATATTATATTCTTAGATCACTAATTGTAAAAAGGAAAAAAGAAAAGGCCCACTAGCAAAAGTACAATACATGTAACTGGATCTGATGTCACTACCCTCTATTCGCTGAGGGAATGTCACTGAAAACAACAATGGAGAAGAGTGGAATGTGTAAAGACAAACCATGACCAAATATGGTTAGATTGAATGTTAGATTAATTGATATAACTTGTAAGTAATCTTTTCTCTGCTTAAATTTAGCTAGAATATCTTTAATTTTTTAATATTTTTGAGGATTTATAATTATTACGAAATATTGAAATCATGATTCACCTTACTAGTCCATATCGATGTACTGATCAGTTATTGGTCTGGTACATACCGAGTTGTACCGAGTCATATCGACACATAGTAAATGGGAGCATATTGATGTCCCATACATACCAGTCCCTTGTCAGATCGGTATGCACCGCTCATATTGAGCGGTATGTTGCGGTACGACGAACCTTGATTGAAATTTCACATATTGGTCTCATATTACTCCCTTCTTGAACTTGTATGATATGCTGCTCTGAATTGTACCACTTAGGGACAAAAAAAGAGGGAAGGCTCCAAAGACAAATAGACTAACCGGAGTCCTTTTCTAGCCCTAGTTTTTTGACCTAGAATTTAATGACTTTTGAGTTGTTTCACTAGAGAGTCGACTGGTATTGGTCCAAATTGGTCAACAACATTACATAGATGGTGTGAGTGGCATCTTGTAATACTGTAGCCCATGCTATGTAAAGTGAAGTGTCTACATAATTTGTATTCTTATTTAAGATTTAATAATTGACCAATTTCAATTTCATTATGCATTATCATTTTGGTTTTACAGGAACTGGACTTGCACTTACTGTAATATCATTCAGGTAATATCTGATTTTTTTATAGTACCTCACTCGACAAGAAGTCTGCTTTGGAAAATCAATCTCTAGATTGCTTTTTTATTTAATATATCTGTATAAAATACTGGTACTTACTACTTGCTTATCAGTGTTTTCTTGTCCTGTAGTTGTTCCAAACTTGTTGTCGCTATTTTACACTTCACTTGCACATGTAATAAATATGCAAACTTATCCAGTGCTTAATGTCAATTTTGTCTGTTAGTCAATCGATATTGTTGATCAACTGTTTGATGAAAGTCATCATATTCTAGTCCATTCTAAACTAGACTCTATTTTGAAATTGTTTCAATTGATACTAAATGCATGCATGCTAAAATTTAAAGTATTTTGATATTTATAAATTGTTTACAATATCAAATGTTTTGCTGTGCTCTTAAAATACCTTTCCATCTATTATATAATAAATCATGTTCACCTAAATTGATCATCTATATTGAACTCCATGTTTGATTTTCAAACTGAAGAATTGAAGCATCAATTCTTCTAGAAAAATACTAGCTCAGCTCTCTCTCCTCTCTGTTTCTCTCTCTTTATTCTATGTTGTGTTTATATTTATTTAGTTATTTAAATATTAAACTTAAGCTTGCTTCTGGATTCAAATGATGAAATTCAGGCAATTGTAAACAGATTCGCTTTGTACTTGATTTGTATTAGTTAAATGCCTGGTTATGCCCAAGACTTCTGAATTTGGTTACATTGCTATAGTATTTTTTGAACAAAGGTAGCACTGATCTGTGTTTAAGCTAATATCCATGGAAATATTTTCATTTAACCTACATGTTCCAAGCTAGCATCTCTGTTTTCATCCAATTGTACTTTCTATTTAAGTTTGCAATATATACTAAATGCTTTGCTACATATGTGTAGCCTCCACGCTCAAAACACTGTCATGATTGTGATAAATGTGTCCTTCAATTTGATCATCACTGCGTCTGGCTAGGAACTTGCATTGGGCAAAGGAATCACTGCCGGTTTTGGTGAGTTCACTCCAAAAGTGGATTTTTATGGTGCTATCATGTAAACTCATTGATTGCCATTGTATTCTGGAATTCTATGTTAAAAAGAACATTTTATTACTTGAAAAAAAGAATGTTACTTGTGGTAGTTTCTGGTCCAGTTAATTTAATGTTTTTTTTGCTGATCAATTATATTTTTATTCATGTATTGCTGTAAGTTAGTTACATGATAACAAAGCATAAAATTGCATGCTTCTTGTGCATATTTGAAGCCACTTTTTGAGATTGATTAATCCTTTGCCAAACTGAATATCGGAATTGCAACTGCTGCCATCATGCATCCACAATCGAGTCCTGTGACCTGATTCCTGTGAACAACTTGGCTATTTAACACCACATTGCCGAATGCTGACCTCTGATACTGGCATCATTTGACTTGTATCTTGGACTCTGTTTCCTTAGGTTGTGAGCAGATCATCTTTCATATTTATAAATTGTTATTTTTAATATTGTTCTTGTCTTTCTTAGTCTCCATGTTAATTTTTCTAATCTTAAATGCCTCGTGGCATGCAAAGCTTACTGGGATTATGCTTCATATCATCTAAGCGCATCGAGCATTTTCCTTTTCTTCTACTTCATACATAACTTTTTTCCTTGCTGGACTTGGTTGTTTTGCTTGCGTCTTTACTCTCTAAAGAAACACATAGTGATGTATATATGTAATTTTGTCTGGTTGTTGTATTATTTTCTTTTATGGAGATTTTGTAGGTGAAAAACTAATGAATTGTTTTGGGAATCTATTGGTAGGTGGTACATTTTTGAAGAAACAATCCTTTGCATCTGGACTGTTGTATTATATATCACATTCTTGCGCTCAAAACTCATGAAGACATGGTATGGTTTCTCCCATCGAGTAACTTGTAGTATCTAAAATTGAGTAGTTGATTCAAGCCCTTGTTCAAACTGCATGTCCTTAAAAGTCTTAACAATTGCTGACCTTAACAATTAGTTTACATCCCTTAACAGGAGAAATGTGAATATGAGGGTTCTGACAATTAATTTTGTGTTCTAAGCCCTTGTTCTCGTACTTTGGAAACTTAGCACAACATCTGCTTAAAATGGCCTTTTCAGGTGGAAGGATTTAATTGCCATAGTACTGTTAACTGCATTGGTGTTTTCTCTCATCTTTCTTCTTGTACTGCTCCTATTCCACAGGTAAGATCAGATTTCATGATTGTTGGAATTTTACATTTAATTGTTGTGTTTTTAGTTCATCACAGTATGCATTTAACCTATTTTTCTCCATGTAAGCAAAATCCGATATTATACTAAAGGTTCTTCGTGATTTATGTAGCTAGTATTTTGGAGAATTAGGTGAATGAGATTGGGGCTGCAAAAGGAAAATGCTCCCTGAAATATGTTCCCTTTGCCATGTAAAGGAATCAAAGTTCTCAGCTATGGATACTTCTATTTGGGAGATAGGTTTTCAGCCATGTCGTGTTCCTTCCACTTCTTTGTGTATGCTCTCAATAAAATGATCGACAACTTTGCACATATTTCTTCTTCTGCTCATTAAAGTTCCCTTTCAATTTCAACTTAGTTCCACATATCTCTGATCACTGCAGCCCATTGATTATAACAATATTTACTTTCATGAGAGGCATGAAGTTAGATTCTTATGGACCTTGTGTTACCCATGGAATTTGATCAATATCCATGTTTATCAATCTGGTCCTGGGACAAGTCTTAGATTTTTTGCTTACAGTTAACTTGGACCAAATGGCACATTACCATAGAAGTTAGTTAGCTTTTTGTTTTTTTTTTTTCATTTTTTTGTTTCAAAATCGTTTACTAGGACCTAATTATTTGCTTTGTCTTGGTCTGTTGTGATTGTGACGGCACCTTGTGGTGAATTTGGATGAGGTTTTCTCTCCAGGTTGAAGATTGGTTGAAATCAGGATTTCACTTGATATTCACACTTACCATCTGCATATAATACTTTGTGGAAGAATTATGATATGGCATCATAAACCCAAATGTTTCACTAATTTTTCTTTTTTGATGATCTTTGGTCCAGCTACCTAATGATAACAAATCAAACTACTTATGAAATGGCGAGAAGGCGGCGCATTTTGTACCTAAGGTATGAGCACTATTCTGGTTTCCATACCTCAGCTTATTATGATGACATCTCATTGCTAAATGTACTTATAAGCAGATACTGAATGTTTATGATTTGTAGGGGAATCCCAAAGAAGGTTCATCCATTTAGCAGAGGCATTTGCAAGAACCTGTATACATCTTGTTGCTCCAGGGACAGCATGTACACTCTGGAAGCTGTCCCACCAATGGAGGAATTGGAAGCAAGAGCCAGACCTTACACTTGTGTGGACATCATTTCTTGCAAGTGTTGTTGATGAATTCTTGTTTGATGTTTCTTTGGCCTGCACTTGCTGTATCAAATGCTGTAATTCTCTCATTTATTATTTCTTCTCCTTGTGTTTTTGAAACACTTTGGTAAACATCTGCTTGCAGTGTTAGAATGTGTACCACATTAGATATTTCTCAAAATGGGTGAGAGGATTAGTTAGCCAAATAACTGTCTCTTCCCCCATTATACTTTTATTAGTAAAAAAGACTATGCATAGATTGAATGACGAAGTAAAAGCACAACAAAAAGAGTAATTTACCAGTGATTTTGCTTCTGATCATTTCTATGTTTGGCCTGGTCATTGATCTCTTCGTCTTCGTCTATATATAT